GGGTCACCCTGCCGAGGGGGGTCCCCCTTCCCCTTTGCTCCCGGGCAAGGCTCCAGGAAGGGACTTCATAGGAGAAATTCTCCTTTTCCTTTTTTCTGTTAAAAGGAAGTGAGCTGTAGCTCTTTCATGTTTACTCTAACTACAACACACACTTCCCTAACCCTTAGATAATGCTGTGTTAGCTACAAGCAATTTCTTTCCTCTTTCTTCTCCACTCTGCCAAACTTCACCTTTTTTTCCCCTCCCTTCTTTTCAATCAGCTAGAATACACACCAGGAGAGGAAGAACTGCTCTGAGGTTTGGCACTCTCACATGACTGGCTTTCTGCCACCTCCCCTTAGACCCCATTCAGAACCAACTTTCAGAGGCCAGAAGCAGAGAAAGAGTAAGTTAGTAGTGTATCATTTATTTCAGCTAGGTTACAATACACAGACAAGGAGGATGCTGAAGTTATTACTGAGATTATTTTTGCATCTGTGGGTAACGTGAGTGACATTCCATGTACCAGCAATCTAACAGTAAACGAGAAGTTATTTGCATAAATACAGACACCGGAATACAGGTAGTTTCACAGTCTTAAGAGCAGTATGTTACAACTTTACACTTGGAATTACTACACCAGAGGTTGAGTAACAGGGGTTATACATCAGCAGCAGTCCCACTATTCCGGATACAATCGGGCTGAAGAGGAGAACACAGTGAACAAAATGAACAACAACAAACAACAAAAAGAGTCCCAAGTTATGAGTTATGGGAACGATGGGCACCTTCCCCCCGCTGGGAAAAGTTACAGCTTGGATCTTCCACAAGTACAGTAAGGCTGCATCTATGAACTAAACTCCTTCCCAGAACCCTCCATAAAATGAAACAAGAATAGAAAAAATAAAAGGGTAAGACAGTATTAAATACAGCAGGTACTGCAATATCACAAGTTTTGGTTTTTATTAGGGTAAGTGTCTATTCTTACAAAACAGTTGCTTTGCACAGTTTGACCAGGCAGCTCGGTGTCTATTACACACCAAAGTCCCAGCTCTGGCTGTCCCCTGTGCAGGCTCCTGTCCCCCCGAGGTGACGCCCGAGATGCTCCCGGTGCTCACATGGTCATGTGCTCGGGCAGGACATAGGATATGTCATCCCAGGGGTGGCGGTACAGACCCTGCTTCAGCCTCTTCTGATCCAGGTAGTGGCCTAAAACAAAAGCAGTTTACGTTACAGAACTTGTTCCCCCTCCTGGTCTTGCTCTGCCTGGACACAACTTTGATCTCTGGATTCCTACAACAGCATTCTGGACTGAGGCCCCAGAGGTTCCTCGTGGTGGCAGGGGATGGAAGGGCAGCAACGTGGCCAACTTACCAATGAATCCCATACTCCTGCCTAGCACGAAGATGCCATTAAGAGCTCCTATATCAATATACTCATCTGCTTCTTCCCTGCAAGAGAAAAGAAATTAAATAGTTCCTTATAGTGACCCATTTAAGGAATCAACCTTAGAGAGGCTGCGAGCCTGCTCTAGTGCCAGCAACACCAAAGTCATGTGAAAGCTTCTTCCCTCAAAGTCCACCCTACATTCACAATGGCCTTCTGGAACCCCTGTGTGAGCGGGCAGTGTGCCTTCCGGCTTTTTTACAGGACCATGAGACCATGAGACTCACCGTGTGAAAGAGCCACAATTCCTGAGTACGTCAACAAAGGCAACTCCAATAAAGCCATCTACATTCAGGATAAGATTTGGTTTCTGCAGGAAATGAAAAAACACACAGCAATAAAGAGTTTAACACTGGTAAATGATGTTCACTTGGAAAATTCCACCCTCAAGGGCAATTTGAAGTTTGCCCATAATTGTGGGCACACAAGCCTAGTGACAGAGAAGCTGTCTGGCAACCTGAGCAAGAGCCACACTCAACGTGAACGATGAAACCCAGCCTCAAAGCAGCAGCCTGCATCTGGCTGAAGCCACAGTGACTGTCTGCCACAGCCCATCGTGTGTGCCAGCCCTGCCTCAGCTTTAGAGAGCAGAGCAGGTCCAGTGCAGACAGGGACACCACAGGTAACAGGGATTGGCTTGTTCAGTGTTTTCCCAGTGTCCAGCAACTGTCTTCAGCCTCAGCAAACTGTAGTTCTGCTTGGCCTCGAGTCTACCACAGAAAAACAACCCCCTAGTAACAATTTATAGAGCACTGCAATTAAAACAGTATTCACCCTGGTCACTTCCCTCCCAGTAAGAAAGAATGCTCAAGAGCAGCTAAATACAACCACGTTTCACCTTGGAAGTTGTAATTTTTTCTACTTCAAGGGCGTAGTCCAGCAGAGGGGTGGCAGGGAAATGCTGCTTCACATAGTCCTTGAGGATCTGAACTCTCATGTCTGGGTTATTTATCTGCAAGTTAAGAACATGCCACAGTCACCGATCTTGCCTCTTACACAGGTACTTGTCATGAGCTTTCCCATTTGTAGGTCTAGGAGAGTTTGGTCAACAGCTACATTTGAAACTTGCCAACTTTCTTCTTTTTGTTTTTTCTGCCCTAGAACACCCTCCAGTCTGTGCTCATGCAGTTTCCTTACCGATTTGACTCGGTGTCCAATGCCCATGATCAGTTTCCCTTCTTTCTTCATCTTATTCACAAACTCCATAGGGATGATCCCACTGTCAAAGGCTTTGCTGAACACTTTGGCTGCAGCATCCAGTGCTCCACCAAACCGGTCACCCTGGGTGCAGGACAAGGGGAATTACTGCAAAGGACTCCAGAGCTGTCCTGGTCTGGGGGAGAACAGAACTAATTCTGTTCAGTGATTTTACTTTTCAGCTAAAGCTCTTCCAGTTGACTGCACTTTCTGAAGTTAGCAGCATGTTTTTGCAGACAGTGTCTGCTTCCAGCAGTGATAATGCTCCATGTTTAGAGTTACTACCAGGGACTGGTATGCAGCCCAAGGTCACTGCTGCAGCTTGTGTACCACACAGAGGGGGGCAGAAAGTAAAGCTGCACCTGCAGGGAGGAGCAGACAAGGTAAGTGACCCTAAATTCACCAGTGGGGTACTCCATCCCATACCCATCATACTCAGTATAGAAGCTAAAGGACCACAAGGGTCAACCCCTCCCTTTCTCTTTTGCTGCCTCTGCAATGACCAGCATCTGAGGAGGATTCCATCCACCCTGCCTTTGATCCTGAGCCCTGTGTTCCTGAACAGAGTTCCAGAATCCAGCCCCTGTGCCCAGTTGCTGTCTGTGGCTGAGCCCAGCCCAGGTCTGTTCCCCAGGGCTGCTCCCCAGCCTTGGGGGTGATGGTGATGTACAGCCATCAGGGGGAGCTGGGTTCAGTACTGCTCTGGTATATATTCCATTTTAGTAGTATTAATGAAAACAATAATAATGCTAAAGCTGTTTTACTCTTCTGATCAATAAGTCTCTCTCCTTTATTCCCTTTCTCCTCTCCTTTGGGGGCACAGGGGGTTAACAGAGAGCTTCTGTTACAGGTCTGGGGGCAGTCCTGACCCTAAACTATGACAGCAGTTAAGGTACAAAACAAGGACAAGATTATCCCCCTATCCACCCTGCCTGTCACTGCAGCATTCACAAAACTGGAGTTCAGCATGTGCTTGAGTAAAAGCATGTCTGGAACTCCAGCAGTGCTGACACAGAGCCAGCGTACCCCTGCCACAGGCAGTGTGGGGAAATGCAGTCTGAAGGAAGTTTTATTCAAATTTTCACTTCTCAGTCCTAGAAGGAACTAGGCAACCATACAGGGACAATGCTGACAGCACTTTGGCCTCTGTAAAATATTTCTAGACTCAAGATCTCAAACCACTCTTGTTTACTAGAAAAACAGACTAGGTTTTAAACCTGAAGCATCAAGGTATCAAAGCTGAATTCAGCAGAAATTCAGAGTGCAAGCAGCCAGACAGAGCCTGCCCGTGGCCCTGCAGCCCGTAGCAGTGAAGCCCAGAGGCAGAGCAGGCACTCACGATGGTGAGCAGGCCCGAGGTGAGGCTGGAGACGAGGTCCTTGCCCGCCCGCGCGCAGACGATGGTGTTGTGGGCGCCCGAGACGGCCGGGCCGTGGTCTGCGGTCACCATCAGGCACATCTCGATGAACTGGCACGCGTACCGGGGCAGCCTGCCGAGAGACGGGCACCTGTGAGCAGCGCGGGGGCTGCGCGGGGGCTGCACGGGGGCTCGGCGCTCAGGTTTGTGCTTGAGGAGTGGAGCAGAGGCAGGGAGCTGCAGGGTCTCGGGACCCATCAGCGCCTCCCCTCATCCCTCAGAGGTTTTTGGCCAAAAAAGGGGTTCAGGGCAGGACCCACACGGAACAGAACTATGTACCCCCCCCCTCGAGAGAGAGCGACACTTTTAAAAAAAAAAAATGAAGTATATTGTTCAACAAGGAACAGAAAACGAAAAAGGGAGGTAAGGAAAATAATATATGTAAAGACCAGGGGAATAATACAAAAGATAAAATATACAAAACCCTCAGAAATGGTTCCAGGGTCCCACGGAGTGAAAGGAGAACTTTCCTCTCCGAGCTCCAAGGCAGGAGTGAAATAAGAAACCACTCCCTGCCTCTTATCAGAGTGTGTGTGGGAAGGGGAGGGAATACAATGGTTTCACACCCACCCGGGGTCCTCCCAGTTGCTGGAAGGTCAGGACCCCATTCCAAGCCTCAAACCACAACAGCCAGGGAGGTGCTCAGCTCAGAGCTGAGGGTCAGTTCTATAGGCTGAGCTCTGTGGGTCCCCTCGAGGGGAGCTGTGGGGCTGTGCTGCAGTTCTGTCCATCCTGCTCTGCTGAGCCAGATTCCAGCTAATGCCAAGACTGCTTCTTATGAAAACACCATCAGATGAGTGCAGCAAACTGCTATTTAGAAAGCTCCCTGTAGGCTGGTTAGCAAATATTTGTAAACTCCCCAGTCTCTCCAGGGCCGAGGTGACAATTCTAACAAGCAATTAGTCAGTGTGAAACAGGCCTAGAATAGAGATGTTTCCTCAATGCACCACAAAACCTGTGGAAAACTTTATCCCAAGACCAAAATGTGCTGTAGGAAGCCTTAAGTGGTCTCAGAAGGGGATATTGGGCACTTCCAATGAATCTACATGCACAAAGGAATCCTGGAGTTACTTTTGTACTTAAGTCTGTTAATAAAGAAACAAAACTTCAAGTCAAAGAATTCTGGAGCTTTCACAAAAAGCTGCCTCACCTCCTTTGAAACCAGAGCAGGCCCAGAACACCTCCAATTCCCATCTCTTCTTTGAAGACCTCAGTGATGGGCATCCCAGCATAGATCAGTTCCTGACCTCTCTCATCACAGATGCTTGTCATGAAGGACGCTGGTTTGCGGATCAGACCCAGCTCCTGAAATCACAGTGTGAAGATGGGATTTGAAACCTTCCACATTAGGAGCAAGGGGCAGTAGGGGACAGGGTGGTCAAAGAACAATGCCTTAAGATTCCCTCAGATCAGCTTCCACAGCCTAGCACCAGCACAGGCAGGGAGCTCACAGATAACGCTGTGAAGGATGAGACAAAACCCCAAAGCAACACCATTATCAGCATAAGTGGCCAGAATCACAGCAAACATCCTGTCTGGTTTCCAAGGAACCCAAGGGCAGTTAAAGCAGCCCAGCTCACCCTTGCCCAGGAGTAATCCATTGGCACAGTTGGAGGAGGCACTTCCTCAGCTGGTTCAATCACTCTTTTGGCCACAAGATCCTGGTAGACAGATCTAGGGAGAGAATTCATTATTAACTTGAGTCCTCTTAAGGGATGCAAGTGAGGTCATCTTAATCTAGACCCTAAACCCCAGAATGAATAGAAGTTGCTTTCCTTAGCCAAGAATCTATGACTCTATTGAGTCCTTTTAAGGGATGCAAGTGAGGTCATAATCTAGACCCTAAACCCCAGAATGAATAGAAGTTGCTTTCCTTAGCCAAGAATCTATGACTCTAGACTGATAAAGGAAGTGTCTAGAGTCACCCCCTGCTGAGAAGGTGTCCTGTCACCATGACTTACTGAATGACCTCTCCCAGCTCATCAAAACTCCTGGGAACAAACACTCCAGCTTCTTTCAAGGCCTGATTCTTTGCAACAGCAGTTTCAGAAGCCTGGTTGGCACAAGCTCCTGCATGGCCAAACTGCACCTGCAAACAGGAGGAGAGGCAGCAGTGAGGATCTGCACGTTAAAGCTGCCACTGGCAATTCTGGAAGGTTTAGGTGCAGTGAGAGAAGGTTTTTCCTTCCTGTCATGGATATATACACACACATTTGTTTTATAAATTTGCTTTCGCTTTTGCACATACCTCTGAAGAGAACATGGTGGCACAAGTACCAATACACCAGCACACCACTGGCTTGGTGATACGACCTTCTTTAATACCCCTGCAGATCTTATACTCTTCTGTGCCTCCAATCTGCAGAGAGAAAGCAAGTCCTGCTGCTTCAAAACTGCACTTCAAAACAGCCCCGAGACCCACATGGAAACATTACTGAAGTTTTTTCTCCTTTTTCATTCAGTAACAGCTGCAGTCTCAGAACAGAGAGCCTCCTTATTTGATTTTTTTTTTTTTTAAAGTAGGGGAGACTGTGCTTGTCAGGGGAATACATTAAATTTCTTTTGCGTAAAGAAGCATGAAATAAAAACTGAGATATTCAAGAACACAGGGAATAGCTGCCACTAATCAGCAGCTGTTCTTCAGCATCCTTGAAACAAGGTCAGATGCTCCCAAAACAAAACCTGTGGGTTCTTCTCAGGCAGGATGAGCTGGTCTCACTCACCTCTCCCAGTACTACAATCATTTTGACTCCTGGGGTATCCTGATAGCGCAGGACGTGGTCCATAAAAGTCGAGCCGGGGTACCTGGGCAGAGCACAGGAAGATGGGACCTGTTCCATTTGCTTCACAGTTTTTATTTCTCCCAGAGAAGTTTAACAGCCGCCCTGCCCTTCCTCCTCCCCATCACTACCCATTCCCCTGCCGACGGACTTAGAAAGCAGAGCCCTGTTGGAGCAGACCCCTACCTGTCCCCCCCAATGGCCACCCCCTCGTAGACGCCGTCGGTGGTGCGGGAGATGATGTTGTTGAGCTCGTTGGACATGCCCCCGGAGCGCGAGACGTACGCCACGCTGCCCGGCCGGTACAGCTTCGACGCCAGGATGTTGTCCAGCATGCCTCCCGTGTTGCCTATCTTAAAGCAACCTGGTTTGATCCCACCGACCTACAAGAAATCAGAGAAAGTTGTGAAGCCCTTTAAAACGTGTAACCCAGGATTGCTGCAAGACAGTCTTGTCGATATGAAGCAACAGAAATCAGGAGCGTGACCCTGCAAGGAGCAGCTAACGTGCCCTTTATGGATTAAAGGCAAAATGGATTGTAGGAATTATTTTATCCTTCAGAGAAGGCTGATGTGAAGATTAAGATAGATGGACAAGAGGAGAAAGATCATCAGTACGTACAGTTGCAGGCCCAATGATAGTGACTCCTTTTTTATCAGCTGTCTTGATCAGTTTCCGTGTCAGAGCCTCTGGAATGCCCTCGGCAATGATGGCAATGGTTCGGATCTGCAGCAAGGTCAAGAAAACCATTAGTGCCCCCCAGTGTCAGCACCCTGATGAACTGGAACTCACGGGACAGAGAAGGCAGACAGCAGCCCACGGGGCACGACCAGCTCCTGCCTCTCCCCAGGCCTAGGGGAGGTCAGGCTGTGCACCCTCACACAGGAAGGGTCTCACAGGATCCACAGTCTGCTGCCATCTTCACAGCAGTCTCAATGCACTCAGACAACTGTTCCACTCCCTGGCACGTTAGAGCAGAGCTGCATTTTAACCAACCCAAAGTAACCACCTCTGGCAAAGATGTGCTGAGTTCCTCTTACACAAATTGCAGGTCTAGCATGAGAATTTGCTATGCAGCTCCAGCATCCTTCTTAGAGTCTAGGAGGAGGTAAAATTGAGGTATTTATCTGCTAAGTTGGAAGACCAAGACAATTTGCTAATGCTATCCCAGCTTCAGACACACCTGCACTCTGCTGACAAGATCTTCCTCCTTTTCCTGGGCATCTCCCAGATCCCTCACTCACCTGTGGATAATTCATGGTCTCGACAGTGCTGTCGTAAGCAGAGCGCAGAGATGCAAAGTTGATGAGAACATCCACCTCTGGGTGCTTCCTCATGGCATCTGACATGTTCTTGTAGACTGGGATCAGGATTTCTTTGTGGCCCCAATAGAACTTCTGCCTGTGATCACCACTACAGAGGACAAGATAAAAAAAACCCTGATCCTTAAGGCTACAGAAAGACAAAGGGACACAGTGCATGCAGACAAGGAGTTTACAACCCCCGGTTCTCAGACACCAAGGCTGACTGTGAGACACTCACTAGAGAGTGAGTACACAGGGAGGGACCATACTAACAGCAGAAGGTTCTTCAGAGTATAGAACAGAGCAGCATATGGAAGGAGACGGGCTAATGGGGACAGAGGCATCCAGCAAGATGAATAAGCTCTCCCACAGTGAAGTTACCAGAGCCTCAATTCTACTCCAAGCTGGAAGACAGAATGAGGCACAGAAAGAGTAATGAATGAGATGCATGCAAAGCTGCATTAACTGAACTGGAACAAATACTGGACTGGGGGAACAGGACACCAGTATCTGTGGTGAACAGCCAGGACAGCAATGCAAGGGCCAGTCAGCTTTCCTGTCCTGCTGCAGTGAAGTTCCACCCACCCTGCCCCACACGCTGCAGGTTCCCTGGCAAGGTTCCCTGTAGGGCTTGTCTTAGGTACAGCTGATGGTCTGACTGGAACTTCCCCGAGGTCTACACTGCCCAGTCACCGCAGAGGAATCGGCTGTGTTCCCATGCTCCTGTGTTTGTAACAGAACATTCCAGGTCAGCCAGAATCAGGCAACTCTAGAGAGCCCTAAACTTTTAATCCCAGCTGCTTTTCCTTCATTAAAGCACTGTGACACTGCAAGGGGTTGCCACTCACCTAGAGATGCTGCTCTGCCTGTGCCCAGGTCTGGCACCCTGCGGTCTGCACTTGCTGAGAAGTTATTACAGAGCTGCAATTATCATCAGAGCTGCAGACTAACAGCACGAGGCACTTAATTGTCAAGAGACAAAACGCTCTGCAGGACAGAGGCTGATTACACATCAGCTGTCCTGGATGTCTGTAAATGCCACAGAAGGGAAACCAAGCTCCTGCCTGGCTGTGGGGACGGCTCCCGCCCCGCTGTGCCAGCAGCAGCCACCCAGCTGCTCCTCTCCTCCTCACTGCTCACCCTGTTCGACAGGGAGACTCCCCCACACCCTCCTGAGGAACAGCAGCACACCAGTTTACACCCAGCTGCACTCTGGAGGCTCCTCCTGAGGGCAATCTGGAACACCTCACAGGTCCCCTCAACCCCATTAGCTGGGGGATAAGGTCAAAGAGGGGGAATACCACAAGAGAACCCTGTCCCACTGAGGGGTCCACACAACTCCTGCCTGCTAAGAGACTAAAGGGAAGAATAGGAGCAAGATGAACAGGATTTCATTTTGTCTTTTAATTTTGTTTGGCTACAGGAGAGCAGAGAGTGCTTTAGCTGGCCAACAGAGCTGGTCTGACTCTGGCTAATACTTGGAGGGGAAAATCCCAGCTGCTGCAGGCACCAGCCAAGGTGCCTCAGACAGGCCTGCAGCAAACAGCAGAAGAGTGGAAGAAGCCTTACAGAGCCCTGCTGCCTCTGCTAAGGCAGTGGCTGTTAAAGGAAGCCCAGCTGGTCATGACTTCCTCACTGGCTGAGTGAGGGAACAGGATCTGGACACCTTCTGGAAGACCATGAAGTGGGACTTAACTGATGCAGCTAACACTGAGCTGTTTCAACAGAGCAGCCCGAAATCAAGGGGTGAGGGAAAG